CAGGCATCTGTGGTGCTGCCCTAAGGAGACAGCAGACCCACCTGCTTTGATTTGCCTCAAACTTAGCAGGACAATTTATTTTTACCATATTCTTGCCTACCTCTTATTTCTGCTATCTGCATTTCTTGCAACAAGCATCTTTCAAGTAAAATTGCCATTTGAATGATAACGTCAAAAATACCAAAAGATCAGTAATCAGCAATCACATCAAAGCACCGATGCTTGAAATTTCTACCATAAGTAAACAAGCTAATGATAAAAATTCAAGGTGAGGAAAAAAAAGGAGGAAAATTATAAAATCTAGCCATGAAAAGCACTTGCCAAAGAAGCATTTATTTTGTTTTTCAAAAAAAAAAAGTTTCATTTTTCATAGGGATAAAAATTTAGCTATAGTGTGTGTGAGAGAGAGAAAAAGAGAAAGATAGAAAGAGAAAGAGACACAGAGAGAGAGCTAATTGAAGACAGAATAATTTTTGGACTTGCAGTCTTCCAAGTAGTACCCCTAAATAATTTCTAAGTTGAACTGATTTTAATGGAACATTAGCCCCGAAATACCCCCAAAGAAACAGACGATTAAATTAAGGTTTTTTGAACTGAAGAAAAAAAAAAAAATTGCCTTGCTTCCTATGCCATTTGTTTATTCTGTCTTATCAATGACTCAAGATAAAAAAGCAGATATGCTGATTAATCAAGTCTTATCGATCAGTAACGTAAGTCAATATTTCATACAAATGTCTAGAGAACAATTTCTCCCAATCAAAAATTTATAAATCAATTTAAATTCCTGATAATTACATTTATTTGCTCTACAACAATAAATGTACTTTATAAAAGTAGTATAAGATATTTGTACTCGAGAACATATTGATCAAAGGCAAAACAGCAAACATTTCTATTAACCAAGGTTCTGAGAACAAACTGTAAAATACAAGACATAAAAGCCTGCAATTGTTTCAAATATACCTAGCAATTCTGCTGATTTCAGTCCATTAAAACTGATTACTTAATTAGGCAATCATTCAAGGCATCTAAACACTCACAGACAAAAATAGGGAGTCATTAGCATAGCCGTCTTCACCTTGAGATGAAAATTCCAAAAAATGTTGCAGGCCCATAAACTTTCAGGATCTGTCCCCATGCATAAACTGAACAAAATACTAAAATCCAAAAGCTAACCACCAAATCTCAGGGAAAAAAAGAATTTGCCTATAATGATAACACTTCTATGTCTTTTCAGGTGGCAAATACTTTAAACTGTCTTAGAAATGTCAAGTTATAATACAGATAGTCTCTACCAAATCCTGGAGCCACTACTTTCCTCCCCTCTGGTCATACTCTTATACTATCTATAAGGAATTAATAAAATATCTGCTCTCTTGTATGTATATCAGAAGTAACTGCCTACAAAAAGGTTTTCAAATTTCCTGCCTGACATGAATAAAAACAACAAAGAGGTTTTCTATTTATAGGGGGAAAAAAACCCAAAAACCAGTTACTGGACCCTCAGTCACTGGAGTCTTCCACCAAAGGGAAAAAAAAAAAAAAAATCTCTGTTTTCACTCAGAAGGTACCAGAGATGATTTTAAGAATATCACTGATTCTGTACGGTCAGGAGAAAGAAAAATATTCTGTTTTCAAAAAAAGAAAAAAAAAATGGTTCCTGAAACAATTCCAAAGAGACTCTATAAACTATCTTTTTAGGAGAAGAGAAAAAGCAAGTCAACTCACAAACACAGCTTCCAAACAGAAGTCTTACCCTCTTCCAGGAAAACAACAATGAGACTTTATTACCCTGCTATGATTCTTTCATTTCGGACATGATTAATTAGCAAGTATTACACTTCCCCAAACTCCCACCACACTCTTCGAGGTCTCTCAGCCTAGTTTTTGATAGATCCAAATGAAAAGCCAAGTGGCCCACAGCAGTGTAAGACAAGTATCCAAAAACTATTTCAAGGAAGGAAAACTTCTCTCCTATCTTTGCCTCCCACAATGAAGCAGGCTGCGTTTAACTGCTTTCACAAAAATAAAACAAAAATAATAATAAAATAATAATAATAAAATAAAAAAATAAATAAAAATTTAATTGGTCATTTTCTTAACAGTACCTTTCAAAATCTGAATAATGCATGCAACATATTCAGTACTCAAGAATACATGGCCTGGTTGATGTGTTACCTACCTCTATATTTAGGCTGAAATTCCAAAAGACTTGAGTGAGTCCATGCAGTTTACACTGATAACCACCAACATGCACAACTAATAAACAATAAAGATGATGTGAGCAAGCACGTTTTGGGAAATGGTTTTTATAGAAAAAAAAATCTTTCTTTCCCAAAGAAAAGCGGATATGTCACCCATATAATGATGATAGGAAACAGCAATAAAGGACGAAAAGAGAAGATGAAAGGAAGAGGGCAAGTCTAAAATTTGAATGAATGACAACTCCGATTCTCTGCATATTGTTGCAAAACCCCCTCTCCGAATAATTTCCCCTTTAAAACAATCTGTTTTCAAACCCTCCCTGTGGACCAAGAAGCCAGCTATAAACATGTAACAACTATCAGTTTATGAAGGCTAGGCTTTCCCCTTCACCCTTTCAACTCTCATGTCCAAGAAAACTTCACACATAGTACAGTACTAACAAACAGATCTTGTTGGTTCCAGGAATCTTTTTTTTTTTTTTAATCTATTCTGGTCATAATATCCTTGCTTTTTTTGCAGTTGTATTAAATTTAGGATCAAAAACATCAAAGCAGCTTCCACCTCGGACCTAACTTTTAGAGAATCAACGTGACAAGGCAGTCCCTGATAGATGTTTCTCTTGATAAACGACTTGTTCAAAAGAGACATTGTAGCTTTCATTTCCTGACCACAACACACTTTTAATTTGCAACAGCAGAGCTGGCAAAGTGTGAGCACTTGCCCCTTCCCAGCCTTTTAGGTTTGGAGCTCTGGTTCCTTTAGGCCACACACTGGAGACCAACAAAATCCAAAAATAATCAGAGTAACAGAATTACAAAATAGGAACCACTAATGCACTTTATACATATACACAAGGATCTACTTTATAGGCAGACACAGAGATAGAGAGATATAAACTTTTCCTCCTCAGAATTCTGGTATGTGATAAGGCTCCTGCACGACCATCATTTGCACAGCGTGCATTTAAACGCAGAGAAATAAATGATGTGACTATTATTTAATAGTAAGCAGGGACAGGGGAGGGGGGCAATTTACACACTTAAATCTGCTGTTAAATGTCGTGAATTACATGATTGCCTACCCCAACGTGTTTTTTACATATTACTGCAATGATTATTATTACTACTACCCAGAAATCACCTTTAAGTATCAATACGGTGAACAGTCAAACCATCCAATTTCTGCTTTCAGCACATTGTCCGAGCTCCGATTTAAAATTTATAAATGTAATATCCTCCTCATCACAGGCAGCAGCCCAATCTGCTCTGAATATATATTACAGCTTTAACATCACAGAGGGAAATCGCCCATCTGGCAATCCCATTCGCTCCAACAGCTCCGGGGGAAAAAAAGCTGTGCTCTCTCCTCCTTAAAACATTTCTCAGGGCAAATTATGTGCATCTAAAATAAACAGTCTTCTTATTGATCGCTTCAAAGTCAACAAGTTCCAAATGCAAAATTCAAATCCTTTCTATAGTGTGAGAGCAGTGTGTGTTTAGCTCAATAGTCACCAGAGTCCAACCAGAAGTGCATGTCGCGCAACGGTCTTGCAGTGCCTTTCCTTGCATTCACATTTGTGTTATGAGAGAGCAGTAACCACGGCCACATTATAGACCCCTGGCAGCTTAGCCCCACTGCTATTTCTTTCTTTCATATTCTCCCTTTCCTTCTCTGTCTTTGCAGGGTGAATGCATGGTGATGGGATAAATGTAACCAAAAAAAAAAAAACAAAAAAGAAAAGAGAAGAAAAAAGAAAAAGAAAACACACACACACACACAAACAACAACAAAAACCAACCCAGTGTAAAGTGGACATATCCTGTGGCTATGCAAAATACTTCTAACATCTTTCTGCTGTTGTTGTTCTCTATTCGTCTTAATTGAATATCACAAAGTGTACCCACAGCACAGTCACAAGAGCTATTGAAAACCCCCTCTCACTCCATTTATCTGACCTTTCTTTCTTTTTTTGTCTTTTCTTTCTTTCTTTCTTTCTTTCTTTTTTTTTTTGTGAAGAAAGAGGAAAGAGCGATTTCAAACAAAGTCAATTTCAGTGCTTGATTATTTAATTCTGTCACAGGTTAAAAGTAAAAAGCGCTGACAGGCAGACAAGTGAATGGCAAGGAAAAAGAAACTAATACTGTTTCAGGCATTAAGGACTTAAAGCAATCAAAAAATACATACTTTTTATTTTTATGTAAAAGATACCCCTTCACTCACTCACCCAAAAAAACCACTCAGAAGAACTGATTACTCCACAAAGTGTAATCATCCAGAGAGCAGATAGTCAAATTGCATTAATAGGTTGAGAAAAAAAATTTTCATCCAGCTCTGTGTGTGTTTGTGTATATATACATATATATATATACATACATACATACATATATACTTTCATTAGTAAGCACTCTTTCCCCACACTCCAGCCCTCTCCCCTCTCCACCCAGCCTCCTCCCCCAAAAAAACCCACACTGAGTTTAACTAATTTACATACCATTTGACTTCAGCGGTTATATAGTGTATTACTAGTAACACGTAACTTTGAGATTACTGTTAAAACCGGTAAAAGTGGACTCCAGTAATCTATTGATCAAAACTGATATATAAACAAGTGATAGCAAAAGCAAACAAGCATTTTGACAGATTAAAATATGCATATATATATATATTATATATTAGAGGAATTACACATGATAAGCATCTGCTTCCCAAGGAGCGTCTTCAACGGTTTTTATCATGCTATTTAATTTGTCTTTCCTATTTAGATGCAAAGGAAGTAAATTCCAAAACTGACGTACCATAAACACTGGTGCTACTGATCATTTCTTGCTGGCAGCACAAAAAGCTGAATTGGATTTCTCACAAGCAGGAATTCCAAAGGTTGCTTTTCATTAAAGCCACTTTTCCTCTCAGCTATCAAATGTCACTGCCTTGAAACGTGGGCCCTTTCGTCAGGTATTCATTTAACCTACATGCATATAATTAAGGGGGAAAGCAACATCAACAAAAAGGGGATCTCAGATCACAGGAGAAGAAAGAAAGGAAAAAAAGCACATGACCAGGAATGCAAGTCCATGTCAATTTCACTCACTCCCATTGAAACTAACAAGAGCTCCGGGGAGGACGGTAATAGGATCAGTGGATTGTATATACCATTAAATTATACATCTTTCTCTCCCGTTCCTTGCCAACAATACGCCCACCACGCTGTACCCCCTCCAAGATGATGTGCTTACATTTTTCTGCAACCGATCTTCTGACATTCTCACGTTCCCCCAGCCACGAGACTGTAATTTAACCTCAACTTTTTGTGTGAGCAAGATTCTTATTTACACTTCTTATTTACTTAGAAGTTAGTTCCCGAAGAAAGTCTAGCCCCACCCTATGGCTCCGCTTTCTTATTTTTTTTTTTTTTGAAGTAAAAAGATAGTAATAAGTAAGCCCAATATAGCGGAAAACGAGATTCTTGCTATCGCGAACTCTTAATCCAATACTATTGTTACAATGATTAAGCAGCAAAAATATGCATTATAATGTTTCAGGGCTACTTTGTACAGAGAAATTAGACAGCAGGTTGGCGTACAGAATAGAAGCGAGTGCAAATCAAATTTAATGCTCACGGCACAACTCGGAGATCTCTTTTTATTAGGGGTCTTGCATGTATTTATATTCTTAAAAAAATAAAACAAACAAAAACAAAAACAAAATTTAAGCCGATGGTGGAAAACTACGAAGCTCCTCTTACCTGAACGCGCGGAGCAAAAACCCGATAGGTTAGCGTAGCATCGATCCGATGTGTTTGCTGATGAATGGAGGCTAGGGTTAAGTGAAGGTGCCTATGATTTGAAATCATTCCAAGTTTTTGAAGGGAAGACGGACTGCAGCCTCTGCCATGTTGGAATTTCAAACCCAAAACAGCTGCTTGGAAGGAGCCAGCATGCCAGAGGCTGGGCGCAGGCGCAGAGCGCCGCCGAGCCAAATTCAAATCACTTTCACACTAAGAGCCAAAGATCAGTTTTCAAAGGAGAGAGGGAGAAAGAGACGGAGGCTGCCGAGAGGGAGAGGAGACGGGAGGCAGTGGCGAGAGGCGGGCAGTGGAGAGAGACGGGCAGCGGGAGGACCGGGAGGGAGAGGGAGAGGCGCACGGAGCCCGCGGAGCTGGAGGGGGAGAAAGGGAGGCGGGAGGCGAGCGGGCGAGCGAGCGAGAGACGCGCCAGAGATTCATGGGCAGGGAGGGCTCAATGGCCGCGCCGCGCTGGCCGGCCAGCCGCTCGGGTCATGTTACACGGCCGGGGCCGCGGCGGCCGCCCAGCCTCGCCGACGCGCTCACGCGGCCCGGAGGGGGCCCCGAGGTCATGATTACGCGCGCGGGGACCCGGAGCTCTCCCTGCCCGCGGACCCGGGCGGCCCAAGCTGGGGAAAGGGGAGCGGTGCCCGGGGGTGGGGGTGGGGGTGGGCTGGCAGGCGGGGGCGGGGGGGGGAAGGGGCCTTTCTTTCCCACGCGTGACCGGCCGGCCCTTGCGCGCCCCAGCCAGCCTGGGAGGGCCCGGGACCCGGCTGCGCGGCTCTGGCGCCCGCGGGCCCCTCCCTGCCCGCTCCCGGCTCTCCCGACAGCTGCGGCGGGTCCACCCTTCCCCACCCGGCCCCGACTCCGCGCGTAGGACAAGATCTGGCCCGGGGAGCCGGGACCTCACCCGCACTCTCCCCTGGGCCGCCAACACCAGCCAGAAAATGACTTCATCTGCCAAGAAGAGGCAACTTCGGGGGGGAAATCCGAATTAAGCCAGTTCCCCTCCCCCGCCTCCTTGTGAATAAATAAAATCCTAAGTGTCTAGGTGTGCGGTCCACTCTGGCGCTCCCTGGCTCCCCTCCCTACCTCCCCCAGGCGGCTCGGGCAGGGGAAGGCAGCGCCTGGGGGCCCCCGGTGCGGGCGGCTGGTGCGCCAGCATAGACGTTAGCCTCCTGCTTTCCCAACCCCCTTCTAGGGAGCAAGCTGGGGACCCAGGAGTGGGAAGAGAGTAGGGGCTTTGTGGTGCTGGGAGCTGAGGAAGAATGAAATGTGCAGTTGAGTGTGTTGCTCGCATCCCAGGGAGCAATGCAGTGCTGATTGTCTGTTGCTGAGATAGCCTTTTGTTCGGAACATAAGGTTTAAGAAACACACACACGTTTTCTGGGGTCTCTTGTTAGATGTAAATGTGCTGCATCCAGACGCTTACTATGCAGTGTAAGCTCAGTTGGTTTACTAATCACCCCGCCCCACCCCCAAACAACCAGGATCATTTGAATGGGAACCTCATTCAGACTTCTAGGCTGCGAGTATTGCCTTCAACCTATTTCATTCTAGACTAGCCAACCATCCAACTGAGATAATAAAGCAAACAATAACATTTGATCATGATGTCTACGAGATAATGTGCCCGGCAAAGTTCTTTAGGAATTGTAATGAGAAAGTGAGTGAGTGAGGTAATAATTTCTCTTCGTTTTCATTAAATATGACTTTAATAGATAAATGGTAAGTTTATACTTTGGCCTGGTGGACATCCAGTCCGCTCCATTTCGAGTAAGCTAAGAATGAAAGAGGCAAATTACATATTCGACCAGGAACCCATGAGGCTGAAAATGTTACCTTTGAAGGCAGGTTGGAAACGAAAACATACTTGTTTAGGACTGACCCTCCTCATAACCGGTGTTCACATTTCCCCCTGCTTCTCTGCTACAGATTTAATAGACTAAGTAGCAGCTCTCCAGATGATGAAATGCAGCCTTTAAAAGATACCACACTTATACTTTGAAATTAATTTCATTCTCCTTTGTGATTTTCTTACCTGTGAATGGAGAGCCATTGAATGGATGCATTTAGCTAACACAATGAGAAAGAAAAAATATTTTAGTTAAATCTAGGCAGATGACAGAATCTAAAAGACAAAAAGAAGTGATTCAAGATCTTACCAAATATTTCTAAAGAATGAGATTTCTATTTGGAATGGGTTTGACCTTTCTGTGCATTTTTTTTAAACCGGGTTTCAAAATAAAACAGAAGAACTTTATTCTGATGTAACAGAGAACACTGAAGCCCCTTTAGTTATATTTTACAAGATAGCTTTGAAAACGATATTAGGAAAAGTTGCCCATTGGATTTCACCACAAAGAAATAAGTGTAGAAAAATAGCTATGGGTCACTGTTGGATTGAGTACAGATGAATTAAAAAATAACAACTGTGAAGAACTTAAAATTCCAGTTATTGCCCATTTGGAGAATGACGAGAAGTCCGCTGGACACAGAGCAGATGCTCTGTGCAATTCAAGCAAAACTGCTCAGTCCCTATTTGTAAAAAAAAAAAGTTCCAAGCTCATCAGCCTTTAACACTAAATTCCTTGTCCTGGATTTACAGTCCCTTATGTAAACTGAAATACCAAATAAAGAATATATGCTGCAATATCCACTGAGTAAAAAAAAAAAAAAAATCATGATCAAGTTAAAGCAATTCATTTTCAATATCTGAAAAACAGAATAAGCCCTGCTTTTAAAAAGGGGCAAGAGAAAGTGTGGTTGGCAGTTTATTCATCGATAAGTACTACTTTTTTCAATGCCTTTGTATATTCATTTGAAATACAGATTATGAAATTCATCATTCAACATACAAATGAATATAATTAACTTTGGAAGCAAAGAAAAGGAAACTATTCAAAAGAGCAGTGCATGTATTTACACAGCATTTCAAAATTGTCCAAAAGTACATATACTCTGGGGGAAAAATATTTACGTAATAGAATATACATTATGGGATTTGCATGACTAATAAGATTCACAATGGAGTTTGTCACCGTACTATTTCTAGCTTTTTTTTTTTAAGATATGGATAAAGCTTTTCTCCAGTTACTTTGTTGTTTTTTTTTTTTTTTTTTTTGCAAAGGAAGATGAAACTTGACTTTGTTTTTCAAAACGATGCATTCTTTGTAAACCTAGCACAATGTTTATGGGTTTTGTTGTTGGAAAATGATCTTTAATGACGTGGTATGATGAACATTTTAATGGTCACCATATTTTATCCACATTTATTTTTAAAATGTTTCTTCAAAAGAAATGTTTCTGGTTGTAACTGATATCCATCTCTACAATGTACTTTATGAAGCTTTTCTTGTGACAACATGAGAAATAAGAAATTGAGTGTCTGAAGAAAGTGGATTGGCTAGTCAAGAAAATCGTTAACTCCGTGAAAAGCCTTTGGGACCAACTTTTTTTTCCCACTGCATTAAGCCCATTGCTTATTTCTTTTTTCATTTTAATTTCTTTTTAATGTAGAGAGAACACATATAATGAATTTCTAATAGACAGTGTATACTGACTTGAGCTTTTTAAGTAAGCCAAAGAAAAATAAGCATCACTATTTTTTTCCCTTCAAGAAAAGTGTGTGTGTGTGTGTGTGTGTGTGTGCGCGCGCGCGTGTTCCTCTTAAGCTAATTCAGGGAGGAAAGATTCTTCTACTTTTCCATTCTTATTTTCAATACACAATAAGCAACAACAATCACAGTGGAGGGTAAGAAAATAAGCAAGGTGATATTGAATACAATTCTGCAGATGACCATACTCTGGCGTGCCTGGACTGAGGATAATTTGACCCAGGTTAGTCGCAGAGATGTGTACCTATGTGACGGAAGAAAAAAAGAGAAGGAAAATATGAGGGTAGACAGAGCATAGCAAAGATTAGAAGATGAGGGTTACAAGATGTTTTAAAGACAAAAACAAGTTTGGGTGGCTATAATGTTGAGTTTTTCATGAAATGCTAAACACAATTCAATTTAATTTATACATTCTGCTTGTTAGCTTCAAATTCAATTATTAACTATTTTAACAAAACATTAAACAACTAATATCTTCTTCCAAATGATCCTGTTTCCAAAACATTCCATGACTTACTAGCTGTTTATCAGACCTGCACATTGTTTTTCCTATCACTCACAAAATCTAAAGTAGATCTTATCATAATGCAAATTACTGCTATAATAAATTTTTATGCTTGCATAAAATTGCAGTTTATTTAAGGATCTTAATTTGTGTTCAGTTCGACTAAGAATACTAAAACATCCTTATGGCCCTTCCTACCCCCCAAAAAACTAGTGACGACCTTGACCTCATTTTAGTAAAATTACTCAATTTATTAGATTTACACTTGAATACAGGTAGAGTGGCCCATATATCTCCTTGGTGGCCTAACCCTGCAAGAAAAGAGACAACAGGAAAATCCTGTGAGGGATTCACGTGAGATGTTTTCTTGGTTATACAAAAGTGTTTTCTCCTAATCACTTGAGGATTACACATTTTCATTCACTATTTTTTAGTGTTTATTTATTTTTAAGAGAGAGATAGACAGAATCAAGCAGGGGAGGGGCAGAGAGGGGGAGACACACAATCCAAAGCAGGCTCCAGGCTCTGAGCTGTCAGCAAAGAGCCCGACAGTGACACAGGGCTCAAACCCACGCGCGAACCGTGACATCACGACCTGAGTCAAAGTTAGACGCTTAAGCGAGCCACCCAGGCACCCCATCATTCACTCTTAGAATGGTGGTAGTGTTCATTATTTGTTGCACCCTCTGCCTGATTCTGTATGATTCTCAAGTTCATTTAGAAAGTACATATAGGGGGCGCCTGGGTGGCTCAGTCGGTTATGCATCCAACTCTTGGTTGCAGCTCAGGTCATGATCTCAAGGGTTCATGTTCTCTGCACTGACAGTGCGCAGCCTGCTTGGGATTCTTTCTCTCTTCCACTCTCTCTGCTTCTTTCCCTCCCTTTCTCTCTCTCTCTCTCTCTCTCTCTCTCTCTCAAAATAAATAAAAACAGAAAGTACATATAGTTCTGAACACGTACTGTGGTTAAAAGTATTGTACTAAAAATTGCAGAAAATTTAAAGAAAACTGACATTAACGTTTCATGGATAAAGTCAGATAAATATAGTTCAAAGTGAATAAGTGACTCATAAAGGGGTCTGTCTAGAAGATACGGGTTCTCTGATGAGGGAGAGGGCCACTTTCCTGGCCTCTGTAGTCTCAGTCTTTAAGCTTCAGTACAACAAACTGCTTGTAGTCTGCACTCTGCGTTTGTCGTGTTGTCTGTTCCCCCTGTGCCTTGCTTTCCATTGTTCATTCGGGTTTCCCTCCTCTTCTGTGGGGAACTTACCTCTCCTCTAAGAAGGCTTCCTAACCTTTGAGAGAGGGGCAGGGGCTGGGGGCGTCACTTCAGCAGCTTTTCCCTGGGTCCTCCTCAGACTCCATCTCTCTCTCTCTCTCTCTCTCTCTTTCTCCCTTAAGGTCTTATTTAAAGTATCTTTCTGTTTGACCTCTCTGTTAGATTGTAAAGCTCCCTGAAGGCAGGCAGTCA